GTTTCGTGTTGAATTCACTGTCCCGCAGCACAGTTTCCTCAATTTTTGAATTGTGATGAAACGAGCCTCTAACGACTTCACAACCAACTTCAAAGACAAATACTTATCTTAAATAGAAAGCTCAGATAGGGAACAGCGTTAAAGAACGATGCTGAGACTACCTTTGAGCTTTTTTATTGAGGACGACTCCATACACCCCAAGCCACTTCTTACTATGCCCTCTTCAGCTTATACTCACTTTTCATTTATGGCAATACAGTCTCACATAAAATTGGATACGGCATCTCTGAGAGAAAGTGATAAAGAAAGAGCGGAGGAAATGTAAGTGAGAATGTGAGGAACAGCTGCGTTAGTGGCTATGCAAGAAAACTTCGCAACTAATGTGTTTGTGTTTCCGAAAGGCAAACAAGCGCTACCCCAAAAGAAATATTGAATAACTACACACATTACACAGGCAATTAGTCTTACCTCTGACACTAAGTGGCGAAACTTTTTACGGGTAATATAAGCCTTAAGTAGCTTTGTTGAGAGGGTAATGAATAAGGCAGTTTATCTAGATACATTTCTACATTCTTCTGTAAAACATTAAACTTGAGTTCCATTGGAATGAAAATAATTACATATATTGCTGTTTCACAGGTACATGGTCTTTCCTAAGTATCGTAACAGCCTGTTGACATTTCACTGTCTATTTGAAAAGAAACGATCGATGAGGATAGGAAATCAACCCAACGCGCTCTAAACTTACAAATAAATATTTTTAGAATGAACATATGACTATAAACTCCCAGTCAGTAAGCAATATCGCTACAAATACATTGAGTGTGAGAAAAATCAGCCATCAATGTAAAGAATCTTTAACATAAGGATCAAAAAATCTGTTAACAATTGCGTTATTAGAAATTACTGCTTATTTCTAACTCACCACTAAACGAGCAGTTAAAACTCCAGTCTTCTGTGTGACAAAAATGGAGGTAATCGGACTCACCTGTAACAGAGGAAGAACAATTATAAAAATCACATGAACATTAGAAAATATTAGAATATTAACAAAAAACGAATTCTCCAATTTTGTGTTTACGCGTGTCTTATCAAAGCATTAAGATTCCGTCCTCAGGATTTCCATAAGGACATGGCAAGGGACGAGGGACTAAAACATGGGGAAAACAGAAATACCAAATGTGGATTCCTCATTTGTTTAATTTTTGCATTTCCGAAATTAAATATATAATTGACATTTCCCGTAAATAATAATGGGTAAATTTTGTAATCGAATCTACATCTCCACTATTTTTCCCCTTAGCACATGATTAGCACGCGGGGGCATGAAATCATGAAATACTTAAAAATATATAAGCAATATTTATTTAAAATTTATTGCTTTTATTTAGGATCTATTGGTTTTATAATCAATGTCCATTTGTCAATGTTAACACAAAACTTCAAACTGTTAACTGGCAATCGCTTGCACCAAGTAATAAACTCGCTTTCTGAATTGATGCGCAGTTAGGGAATGTTGATTACAGGTTATGGCGTCGTGAACGATACTTAACTGTGGAATTTCACTGATAAACGAACAGCAATAATTTTGTAACATTTCTCGTGAGTTCTAATGAGTCATCAACTTCACTGGGTTTAACAAACTTTCCAACGTTCAAGAAATATAGGTGTCATTTCAGATGTTAAAAAATATAACACCGTATTATCTTCGGTTGGATGAACAAAATGTTTCCTACGCATTTTCCTAAGAAACGCTTCGTCTCTGAACAGGGTTTGATTGACTGATTGATTAGTGATATCGGGCGCGTCAACTGCTGTCATTAAGTTCCGTAAGTGCCGTGCATGGTTTTATCAGGGTAAGTGGTGGAGATCTCCCACGTCGGATGGCGAGATCCGGCGCCGGCCCACGGCTTGCGGGGATTCCCCAACCAGGTATCTCCCACCGGCACCGGCACTGCCCCCAGCCGGGGCAAGTCCTAACCTCCTTACATGTGTGGTAGTGTAGTGTACGTAAGTGCGTGGAAGGGGTGAGGAAAAGACGAGGAAGAGGGGGAAAAGACCGCACCCGTTTGTTAGGGTACTGCTCCGGTATTCGCCTGGTGTTGAATGGAGAAACCACGGAAAGCTACCGATCAGAGCAGCTGGACGGTAGAATTCTCTCCCAGACAGAGACTGAATTCGACCTAAATAGCTATCTAGCTAATGACGAAAATGCTGTTACTCATGGGACTTGAATGGCAGGACCTCCCGATCAAAGGCGCTGCAATCACCCCATCATGGTGTGTGCCCAATCGTAAGAAATTATTCATGGAAACTTCACACAATCACGATATTGATCAGAAACACGACAGTGTAACTCACGCTAACTCACACACCGAGTTTTTCTTTCAATATGTTTTCTATTTAATATTCTGTAGAAAAAGGGAATATGTAATATGCAAAGAAACAGCTTGAAGCGTTTCCGTCTTCTCTACTATAAGTGTCACACATGTTCAAACTGATATCCAAACCACATTACAAACTACGATCAATTTCTACCCACTAGTAACGAAGAGAAGAATTTCATACAGTAGGTAGATATTCCACAATCACACTCAAACCTTAACAACATATAAAAAACATTTTACTTGTCACTAGTAATTAATGTGTGAAATCTAGTCATCAGATCCAGTTTTTAAAGACAATAATAAATATAATAAAGTAATGAATTAATTTCTATTATTTTAGTCATCCTTGTTTAATTCGTTTAATATTCTTAGAATAATTGTTTTATAATCTATATTTATTATGTTTAATTTCCAATAACCCAATTTAATAAATTCCAATAAATATATTTACCAATTTTTTTATGAATTATTAAACAAATGGTGCTACAAAAGGCACAGACTTTCTCAAGCTATTTAGTTACCTACATTTGTATCGTCTGGGTTTTCGGTTTTGTCCCCAACTCTCCTCCGGGCTACTACCTATCGGCGTTAAAAAACATTTGTAACAATTTTTATTAATTTTTCGGTCCTCTATTTGCAGAATAGAACTTGCAAGTGCAACGACAGTACATGTTTTGTGCTTAATTTATAACTTACGTAATTTTCGAAAATCTAGAGTTCCACAAAAATGAAATGCGGACCGTTTATAAGTTTATATTTGGTCTATCCGAGGGAGGAAAAAGAAACGTTCGGAGCCGATTTTGAGAGCAAAAAAATTATATCCGCCTTTACTTTAAATACTTTGAAACAGGGAAAGCAATACTTGACAAATTACTATATTTAACTACAAGCGATTCAAAAATGAACGCAAAATATAGCTTCATTGTGAAATTTCACTTGCATTTCTCAACTACTTATAGCGGTTACAATTTAGGCTTTTGAAATTGATATATAATACACAGGAGTAATGGAAAGAATTTTCCCAATCAGAAACTGCATACGAACGATTTCAGTGATACAATGATTCCAACGTATGCACATCAAATAAGACCACTACATAAGTAATACACTACGATGACACTTAAACCCGAATGTTCTCACACAAACACACACACTCTATACGTAATATTCTATAAATATTCCACTGATAAATGGCTTTCGGATTCATATTTTCGTCTGGATGGAAACAAACACTTCGTTTAATAACAACATTCTTCTCATGGTAACCAATTTCAACGTCAAACTACTGACGAAGACAAACAAACCACGCGCCCCAACCCCGCCCCGCCGTGCCTCGCAGCAATCCCCACATTGTGGGTTTCCAATAACACAAATTTAACAGTGTAACTAAATTAGGCGTCACATTTTGGGGTCGCGAACTTCTCTGTTTTTTTCGGCTGCTGATAAGTGTTCATTGCAAAATTCGAAATATTAATTTAAATTTAATTATTAACGACCGTAGCTTCCCAATGTTCACCTTTACTTCAGTCCTCCTTTCGCTAGTTGTGGTAGGAGTAGGGGTAGAAGTTGCTACTTCGTTAGAAATACCACAAAAAGAAATCTGTAAGTCGTTTACAGATACAAATAAGGTTTCTGTTACTTGGGCGCTGAAATATGTAGTTTTCGAATGTCGCTAACCTCGCTTTCTTACTACTTTTTTCATCATGTATCTACGTGCAGTAAAAGGGTGGAGAAGAAATTTTGGAGCTCAAGAAAATGTGCGCAATTGTACTTTTTCTCCGGACGTCACATATTTTTTTCTCTGAGGAGTAAGATTAAATTAAATTTGGGAACAATATCAAAAGCAGTGCACTGCAGCGCTTCAAAAGTTATTAGATAACATATACCCTCACACCTGTACCAATTTTTGCAAAGGTTTTCACACTGGGCGACGCGGTTCCCAGGATGTGATGTATTAAAAACGATCTTTAGATTTTATTTACTTTAATCATGTCATTTATGTCCACGAAATAAACTTGTACTAACATAGTATACGTCCTTTGTAACATACAAGACGTATTTTACTAACTAATCATGGATTAATTGAACCTGGAAGGACCTTTACCAATAAGCTGCTGTGGCTTCTTTAGCATCGACATACATCTCTAGGGCGCGTCGAGGATATTTAATCTCTCTACCCATGTAAATCAAGAGTTCCCGTGCCCACGCGAACCGTGTCCAACCTGTGTTTGGTTGCGATAGAAATTGAACGTCGATAAAGAATTGCGAGTCGCAGTTTTAACTAATGAACCAAGATTTGAACAAGTGTTGATGAAGAAGCAAGCTCATCCTTCCCATTAATATTTAGAAGAATTTTTTCATAAAATTAAAAGTTGAATAAAACGTGTTATGTTATTTTAATACCTAATTGAAATGGAGAAATAAAATAGCATATTATATCACTTATTTGTGTTGAATCTTTAGTAGGCCTAGGTTAACTCTTGTACTTGAAACTTATTGTTGCCAGGGGAGCCGCGGGAAGCTTCGTTTACGTCAAGGGAGCAGTTGACAAAAAACAGTTTGATATCCCCAGAGTTACGATAATCCGCAGTCGGATAAAAAACATAACCTCACCTGCTCTTTCCGCTATTTCAACACTTCTTCTCACGCGCGTAGCCTTCGCCACTCCTCCGCCGTCCATTGCGGATCACAGAACTGAGCACTCGAAACAGAAAACCGACTCGTAAGAACGCCTCGCGGGCTATCTTTCCACGCGCTCTTGGAGCGTGATGTCACGCGGTGGAAACTCTTCCGAGTACCCCATCCGGGCCGGGCGGTCGGCCTGTCCTCAGCACTCGGGAACGCGTGCTCCGGGCACGCACGGGCCCCGACAGGGCGATAACGCGCGACTGAGCTGCCACAGCGCGGCGCAGCGCAGAGGCGCGCCGGCGGTGCCCCGGTCGCGTTGCGCAAGAGGGCACGAGGGTGGGCCCCAATTCGGGCCGCTCTCCTCGGAGCCTTTTCACTTTACTGCCGCACCGCGCCGCCCTCCCGGCCTACGGAGAGGAGCTCCTACGCACCGCCGTCGAGGCGGTGACGAAGCAGCGCCACGACAGGCAGGATGGGACGGGTCAGCGCGAAGCGGGAGGACATGAGGAAGGAGAAATGGGCGTGGTCAAACGAGGCGGGGTGAGGGGGCGTGAGACGAGAAGGGTTGGGACAAGGAACGGGATGGGGACAAGCAGAGTTGGAGAAGGTTCGAAGCGAAAAGGGGTGGGGTGTATCGAGGCGGGTTGGGAAAAACAAAGTGGGACAAGATACGAGGTGAGGATGGTTGTTGGGTCGGGCAATGCGCGACAAGGGGCGGGGCGAATGGGTCGGGACGGAGGCGGGGCCGAGCGAGACGAGGTGGGGTGAGGTGGGGAGGTCGAGGAGCACCTGCCAGCTTTGGGAGACGCACTCCAGATGATCGAGAGAATGGGAGAAAGCCACACAAACTGACAGCTTGACACTTGAGCTAATCGGCAATGTAAAGAGATAAAACGGACCCCTAAGAAATCGTCTGATAGCCTACACTCCTTGTATTCATAAATAATTGGACGAAGACAGCCCACGACAATAGCATAACGTTCAGGCTAACCGGATTGGGTGAACTCTGAGGTTAAGCGGCTCTCGATGCAAAGTCCTTAGACACTCTCTACGGGAGCAAGGATAAAGACATTTCCCACTTGTGTAGGTGCTGCAGGCACTGTCTGAAGTCGTCCCCTTCCGCGGACGGGGTCAACGGTGCCCTTCGCTCAAAACCTTTAACTCTAATAACCACAGACCTATTATCCTCACCTTGTAACAAAATGGCCCCATCCGATCGTTGCTTATCTTTCAGTTCAAAACTAAAAGGTATAATATTATAATAACTACATAATAATATTAAGCGTCATTAACAATTATTTTCTTCGGTTTCAAAATTCTCTCAAGATGGCACAAATGTATAGTGCAGTTAATTGCCATTATTTTCACATCATATCGTATGAGATACTAAATCTATCCCAAATATAAAACTACGATATAAATTAATTATGTCCACACTTGGACATCTGGGACGTTTTCCAGATATTATAAAAAAGCCCTCTAAATGTACTAAAATCCTACCTCTTCAAAGCTCCCCTCCCTTAATACATTAGAAGATGGACTAGAGTTTTATATCTCAGGTTAAAATTTCTCGACTTTTCTCTCATTCTTGCTTACGATTCGCCGATTAAATTTATTAACTTGTTATACTATAATGTTAATCGACGTAGTTGTGATTAAAAATTTAGGATCAACAAGTCTCTTACACCAACAATTTCAGGAGTTTTAGGGAGGGCGCGCATGCGCAGAGCGACTCAGCCGCTAAAGAAGACGCTGTGCGCATGCACGAGTTCGTTGAAAGTCCCGAAATCCTTCGTCAAAAGGAAGCGTCTAAATCGGGGGGTGGTGTAGTTAAAATCCTCCCCTCCCTGACATACATTTGTTAGGTTTCGACGGGAGTTTAATGAGAAGGTAACTCCTTTTCTTTACAATAGTACACTTACTATTAAAAGTACGGAGACGACGATGGCGCAGAGGAAAGAGTAGGATTCCATTTCCGCTTTCCTTTTACTTTTATGAACAAGTCACATCCCGAGAAGTGCAATAGCACATAGTAACGCGTCCCAGTAGATTTAACAAAGTTCCTTACAAATTCTATTACCGTTTCAGGCGGTAATAAATATTTTCACATGTTTATTATCTCTTGGCATTCTTGATATTTGATCTATGATCCCCTGACCTTCCCTATTGATTGGTGGCTACTTTGATCTTAAGACTAATATTACGTGCACCAACACTAGTAGATTAAGTAAATGTAGAGACGGAGGCGTCGCTTTTAAATGCGAGTTCTACGTCATCGCAGAAGAAACTGATCAGGCACGTGCGACCTAAAAAGTGAGCAAAAAAACGACGAACCTTGACGTCATAGATTTACCACAGATGATCGATGGGCAAATGAACGTTACATAGACAATAAATCTTATGAAGGGATGAATAACAACTGGAAATTAAAATATTTCTGTAGCCTGCAGTTCCACTGAAATCTTAGCTCGTAGAACATATGGATTTCCGATGATGACACAAGAATTGATTATTTTTTTTACTTTAGGGATTAACATGAGCAATCGTCTGCTTGGAGTGTCACTCATAACGTACTCGTACAACGTAAAAGTATGAGTACCCCAGTATTTGCAGTAGAAGGGACGAGTTTGTCGAACGACACACGTGCTATATACAATTAAACACAGCGTTTGTTTTAACAGTAAGAAATCTGGATTATCATAAGTGCTTTTATTAGTGCATGTTCTTTATATGTTCTAAGGCGCAATCCTGTAACTATTCATAAATCGACATTCGTATTAGATATACTACCTACAAGCAGCGCCATGTGTCATTTTGACAGTATTATGTATTAGGAGTAGCTAATCATGCAATGGTATTATTTGGGTTTTCCATTTTTAGACGATATATTATATCTCTGGCTATCAGAATATTCGTTGTCATTTTGATAAGTCCAATTCTGCCTTCTGGAAATCCAATGCAGGTTGATGGCGAAGTGTAAGTTACCCCGGATAATTCTCTTTTCGATGCCCTCGGATGCAAAACTGTTTAACATTACACTTCAGTGCTGATAAAAGGGGCAGCTACTCCGTCTTCTGAAATTGAGGATTCGCAAGAACAAAGCAAATATACTTACTACTTTTCCGTGTTGTATAAGTATGTGTGTTCGACGTTATTATGTAGAAAATGCTGTGAGAAAAAACAACAATATAGCTAAAGCTATTGTGTTTACTCTATTGTCTCATTAGAATACGGCATACACGGCTTTCTAGGGTGTGCATTCGAAAGCCAGAATTTTAATATAAGAATTATTTGGAACGCTTTCAAATTTAAGTCGCAAACAAAAAGACCCCCCAAACTACACGAAATGCAGAAACACACCAAACACTATAGATTTAATTTCTCGTGAAAAAAGAACTTAAGATAAAGAAAATATGCGTTGTCTCATAATGATGTGAAAAACAACGGATAGCAGCGCACCTAGTAGTAAACGCGCGTATCGACCGTTCCACAGACAAACAAGTCCGCATTCCTGACCGTGGGTCAAAGGTACACAATGTTACGGGCCACAATAGGTACACGTATCTTTAGTGTGATTGAAATTAATGAAAAAACCTTTTATATAAAGAATTTGGTTATATGCAGTAATTGGTTATTAGTTCCACAGACCTTACATAGAACAAATACAAGATCGATGTACTGAAGAAGTACAATTTGGACAAACTATATTCGTAGATCAAGTAAATAGCTTTTGTAAAGTGTCCTAAATCTTGTTTTGGAGAAGAGCCACTTCTTCACGAAACTGGGACAACACGCAAATAGGGATCATTCTTCGGGTACATTCGTACAGTTTTGGAATTCGCGAGTTCACAAACCGCGTGCATTGGCTTAGATTGTTGAAAGGCCGCGTCAGAGACCTAGAGACGAGGAGATTCTAGGTTAGAAGTCGGACAGTGGCGAATGTTCGACACCAGTAGAGAAACAGTGAGGTTCTCAAATTTTGAAGGAAAACTTTAGAATTAGAAACTACGGGAAGGGAACTGCCGGCAACTTTGTAACTTTACGTAAAAGCTAGTAAAAAAGTCTATGCAAAACGCAATATTTTCAATACAAATAAAATTCTACGTGAAGAAGTAAAATCTGAGCCAGTATTCAATAGCTTCGGAATCCCTACACTGAGATTCTGGTACGGCTTCGGCAGCACATACTTTCTCTCACTATTTACAATGCCTACTCAATATTATAATATTACAGGAACCTTCAAACGCGTTTGCAACATATTTTTTCCCTTCGCGCTTGGATTAGAACTCAGGTCCTTACAGTCAACGCATCAGTCACGTTTCCCGTTCTCCACTAGCCTCGTGACTGAACTCTGCCTTCCCGACACTTCAAAAAATGTGAACACTTGCAGTCGCAATTTTTAAAAATTCACAATTATTGTTTCCATTATTTGAAGATCTTGTTTTAAAGAACAGATTTTATTACGGAAAAAATATCTAGCATCAATATTTGTAGTTTTAAATGAAAACAAAATTGTTTGCATTTTCAAAAAAGCAGGGTTATCCGAAAACATGACCTAGAAAATTGAAGAAAAAATGTGGGGCGGTATTAGAGATAAAGTATAAATTGAATAATTTCCAGAAAAATATGCCAAAATTACTTGTTTTTCAAAAAACTTGTTCATGACCCACTTTAAACATGTATTGTAGAACAGATTTCACTTAAAAATAATATTGCCAGACAATGTCACAGACTAGTTCGTTTCCTTATCTGTTCACTCTGGGTTACCTTTTCCGCTTTGCTCCACCCTCTTCTCACTACCACCCATCAGCACCTAACATACATTTTCCTTCTTTTTTCCGGTCCCCTAATGGTAGAATTGAAACATGATATTCAGAATAATACGGAAGCGTAAAGCCTGGTTCTCTATGCACACTTTCTTGGAATAGGTTTGAGCAGTTCTCAAGAAAATAGCATTCGAGCGTTTTCAAAAAGACAAAATTTGGAGTTCATTTTCATCCAAAACACTTGAATTTTCTATTTTGAATTTGTAGGGCGATTAGTGATTACGAGTGCGTCATCCGCTAATATGAGTCCAATAAGTGTAGTGTATGTTTTTCTCTAGGGAGGTAACGGTGATCATTCCTCACTGGATGGTGAGATCCGACGCCGACCTACCGTCGGCTTGCGGGGTTTCCCCTCATTCAGGTATCTCCCACCAGCGGGGCAC